CAAACAGCGTTCTACGTTTGTTATTATAAAAATTAATTATATAAGTTATTACTTAACTTATTATGAAAGCAGGCGTGTTATTTTTGCAAGTGGAAATACGTGATTAAATTCGAATTGCCAGTCTTGACCTGCATCACTGTGATACTCAGTTATTATGATAAAATTGATCTTTAGATTTCCTCTATAGCTCCACGCACGTAGCAAATCATTGCCACCATACTAGGATGTCTTTGCAACCTTGAAACTTTCATACTTACGATTAGACTATAGATTTTTATGCTGTTTTATATTCTTACGAACATACCTAGCGAAATAGAATCTACATAAAGATTTGTTTCATCTATTAAACATTATATTAAGCAAGTTCCTTTGGATATTTTATATAATTTTGCGTCCTTAAATTCCCCAAAAATGCATAAACATCCACTTATAATAGTATACGATACTTTCATTTGTCGCTTCTAACAGCGAGGATATTTCAAATAAACAGAGTTGCTGGAACGTCCTGTATAGCATCGAGAGGAAATCGGTATTATTCTCTGGAGTCTAGATAATTGGAATGGGTTAATGAGTCTGAGAGGATGTTGCATTAGCAGAGTTATTATAATAAGGAATCTGGTTAAATAGGCGGTAATCTCTTGAGCAGTTGTTACAGTTAGCGCGAATTGAATTGATTAAGTTTTTCTGACGCTTTCATGTGCTGTTTCTCTCTGTTGATCACTTGATGGGTCTAAAGATTTGTAGCGTCTAGGTGAGCTCTTTTCAGATACGTTCTTGTGTAATGATTGCTTGAAATTGTGTATGGAGAAGAGATACATAATTGTTAAGCTGGCATGAATAAATTTTGTGTAATGGATATAAAGATTAGTAATGATAATGTGAACTTTTTTCAGATGAATTCTTGTGTAACGATTGTTTAATTAGATTATTTAAAATAAGACTTGGTTAAATTGTATGTAATGTAGCATCTTCTTATGCAACAGTTGCTTGAATGTCTACGGGAAGATTATGAAAATGAAATGATCATAAGCTTATTGACATAAATATATTTCGAAGGAATAGAATTTTGGAGACTGCTTAGAGCTACATCGACGAGGTGTGAGACGTGAATTTGCTCACGTACATCCCTTAGTCTTCCAAGGTTGCTTTACTTTCGATTCGTCAGTCTTCTAAAGGACAAGTTTTAAATTCACGATCCGTGACTCTTTTGAAACGCTTCCATTTTTGCCACAATTTACGTATCTCCTTTATAAGAAACGGATGTAGCATTCCTTCTGCTCCTTTTCTTCGAGTAATAGACTGATTAAGTTAATCTTATCATCGTGAGTGGACGTTTAGGACGGAAACTGTACGTTCGCTTGTTAATTTCTTCATAAAGCGATCCGCTCTATGGCAACAAGTCTTTTCTTCCAAATCGTAAAACCCGTTCAGTTGCTACCTGCGATAAGGTTGTGGTTGTTATTAAATGCAGAATAATATCAACTTCCTAAAGGAATTGCGAATTCAGAAAAAGCTACTGAAATTACTCTTACGTAATTCTCGAGATTCAAGTTTAAAAACTATACTTTGAAAAAGTTTTTTAACATAAAAATTCCTCGGATTTAAGAATTTTTACAGATTTAAGAATATTTATCGTTACACTACGATTGAAGACACCAAAAATACTATAAATCATTCTAAAGTCCCAATCAGAATATCATTCCTTTTAGGAACACCCGATGATATATAGTAACTGATAAATTATTATAATCATAGTTTAGAAAAAGGTCTGAGTACAAAACGAATTTCATTTTTCAATATAAGAAGCTCTTAGAAATATAAGGCCTTTTTATAAACAAATACGTCATATATATTTTGCAAACTAATAGTATTAGTAAATTAACAAGTTAAAAGTTCGAAGCTATCAACTTCTTTCTTACGATTTCATAATTTTTCATTAAATAGAACAATCGGATAATTGTTTCTAAACTGTTATTTTTTTATTATCAAACTTGTTAATGTTACCCAAAGATATTTATTAATATCGAATTTGCAAAATTTCTCGAATTGGTTCAATCGTACGAGAAATTTTTTATCTTTCACAGTTGTATATTTCTTAAAAACATTGAAAAGACGTTTTGAAATTCCTGAGAGATATAATAAGTATGACAGGTATGACACATAATTCCTATAAAATATAATAAATAGACACACAGTGACACATATGACATTCTTACATATTTCGAAAGTATCCTCAAATTTAAAAAATGTACACACGTGCCAATATTCCTCCGAAAATGTGAAGTCTCTTATCAGCTGCATAAAAGCTGACGAGCGAATCGTGACGAAGAGAACAGTTGCAAAATACGAATCCCCCCCTCCCCCCTCTCTTTCGTCTGTCCACCTCGATCCAAATTTTCGTGTCACAGTCTGGTTAATGCCGGCTGAGAGATCGAGGATAATCTCCGGCGACACGAGCCTCTTCCCTCGGTTATGCTCTCTGCCGTTCCATCGTAATGATATTCCACTTTGTTAACGCGCAAACTCGGTAGCCATGATCCGTTTCCACGCACCGGTGCTCTCAGCTACGCTCAGCGTCGCCGCGGTCGTCGGCGTCGTCACGCTGGAAATCCAAGAACACGTCTAACGCGAGGATGACGCCGATGATGATAATGATGATTCCACGACGCGTAATCCACGTGTCGTTCGTGATCTTTCTCTTGATTTTCTTTTTTCTTTCGAATACTTGTAATTGCGACACGAGATACGCACGATGGATCATCTAGGATTTTGGAACTTCGTGGATTTAATTGTTCCTGATGCTGGCCACCCGAGGACGTCCCACATCGATGGATCGTTGCCTCCAGAGAAGTGATTCTCACGAGTGTGATTATGGAGATGATTAAATAGGGAGGAATGTCGATGGAATGAAGTTTTACCGATGGACTGCTGCTGATTGTGTTATTTCTTGATATTTATTTTTAGAGTTTAGAGGTTTTGCGACGAATGGGAATTATAATTGGGAACTTGAGTCGTCAAAGTAGTCTTGGTGTATAATACTTGTAAGATAAATGATAACTTGTATCTTGGAAAACCTTTTTTGTTGGTTGTTTTATTACTTGTCTCTCTCTCTCTTTTCTTTTGTAGCAAAGGTTTTGGAAGAAAGTTTAGTATTTTTATAAGAAACGATATTAAGCTGTAATAGCTTGAAAATTTTAGGAATATTATTTTTTCTATTTCATTACGGGTTACTTCTGTGTTAGAAATTCTATTATGTAACACTTGTTCGAATGCGGCGGCTTGATCCTTAAGAATGTTCCTTTCTTATGTCTGTTTTTGAACGGGGCAAAGCATTCCTTATGGACGGATTAATTCAGCTCATTACTCTGGATGTAAAAGTACGAGCCGTGCGATTTCATATTCAGATTTCATTCATAGCAGTTTCCTTTCGTAATGATACTTCTCGTGAGCGACTTCCACTAACCCCATTTTCCATCGACTCTATTAAGTGGTCTTAAGACAATATGAAAGTAATCAGACTGCTGATCAACCAAGAATCCGTTTTCATTACAGCCGATTAATTCCAGTTCCTTGCTGTACGTAAACCGACACGTAAACCTTCGTTCAAAGGTAAAAGATACGAATTTGAAGCACACGGTAATAAAACAAATCATAAAGACAAACTTTACGTTAAAATATATTGTAGAACTGTTTTTTTTTTCTCTCTCTCTTCGTTCAAATAACTCCCGATTCTTTTTAACGTCGACAGTTTGTGTGCCAAATCACCATATTATTATGTAGTAAATTATTATACGCAAACACCGTAATCGATATTATGGCGAGTCGGGCAAAAAGAAGCGTGATTAAAAAGTAATTCGCGAAATGCGTAAATTTTATTATCGTACTATGGAATCTTTCTCCCTTCTTTTCTCCCCTTATACGGTATATTTCGTTCGTTGGATTCTAAATTGCCCAAGGTCCGTCACGAAGGCTGCACCGTTGGGTTTCCGAAATCCAAGGCCACGGTGGAGAAGTGGATCACGATGATACGCAATGAAATCGCAGTCGCGAGAAGGACTGAGAGGGTAGCCGTGCGGAACCATGATCGATCCCTTCATCGATCAAATGAATCGCGCTATTGTTACGATAGACTCGATGAACGTCGTTTGTGCACGTCGAGGAGATCGTTTACTTTGAGGTTAAACGAAGAACCTCGATTTTTTTATTGGATTTATCGATTGGAAAGGAAAGAGCTAGTCATTGATTGTATTGGTATACGTGAGCTGTGTTGTTAAAGATTTTCATGCTCAATTAGACCTCATCTGATAGGAATAAGATTGATTATTATTTTAATCTCTATAATAGACTTTTCTCGTGATAGATTGTAAGATAGAAACAAAGAAAGAGTTTTTAGGGCAATTAATAATAAATTGTGTTTTAATAATAATTAAATAATAAAAGCATAATTTGTGAAAGGAATAGTTGAAAATGTCGAACGAATAAGATATATACATATATAAATTTTTATAGTTGAAATATTTATTAATAATATATCAAAGGAAAGTTCATTATATACAATGTTTATAATTATATATAACGTAAAATTATACATTGGCGAGAAGAAATCTCAGCCATCTTGCGCTTTTTAAACAGCATTGTATACCTTTCTTTTGGTATTCTTAAACGACGTAAGAAAAACCAAAGCAAAAACATAGAACCAGATAATTTAAGAACATAAAAAGAAAAGTACATAATGCCACTTAAGAAATGCATGATCACCTCATTTCCTTTGTAGCAGAAAGGTACTTTCAGAATCTTTTTACACCGATAAATTCGTAATTTAACATCAATAAACTCTGCCTCCTTGAAATCTTTTTTCTTTCTTCTTCTTCTTTCTTTTTTTTTTTTTTTTTATTTGTGAAACTATCATAACTAGTTCGAATAAATCTGCCAACTCATGGCGACCGATTCGCGCCACATTCCGTATGAATGAAATAACATTTATTATCGTCTAATTCCAGATCAAAGTACCTCTGAAAGTGAACTTCTCGGCCAGGCCCAAGGACGTTGCCGTCACGATGACGAAGAAGCGGCTG